TATGATACGCTGATGATGCCAGTATGAGCGAACCAACCTTAGGGGATTGGAATAAAGAATAAAAGGAAAACAAAAAGGTAAACAAGTCACTAGGGGTTCTGAAATGTTTACAGTATTTAAACACATATTGCGAGAATGTAAATTCGCGTCCTAATTTGGGAGCCTCGTTGTGCCTGAGGTAGGCCTAGCGACAAATAGATTTGGAGAACTTTAAATGCCAGCAAATGCCTCATTTCATAATATGAAAAATAGACGAATCCCAAAACGAAACTAAGATAATATAAAAGTAAGTCACTATTTGCACTTGGCCTTATTACATTTTAGGAAAGCAAATAAATCTAGCCTATTTGGTCCTTGAAGGACCTTCCCCAGATTCGATCTTCCTGACTCCATCATACAGGTTCCCCAGCTCGCGCAGACCCAACAGCAGGTAGGCTCTAGCCAAATGTCCTCCTTCGCTTCCTTCAGCATTCTGGCAATCCTCAATCCTCTTTATGACTTTATCCTCCAGTTCCACTAATCCTCGCTCCAGATATTCCAACTTTCTGTTGGAAGTGACGCCCATTTCTTTCCATTCTTTGATCAACCTCATATTTGTCACACCTCCTTTTTCACTACACCCCCGGGAGGGGTATAAAGGAGTTTTTCCAATTAAAGGACAATCGAAACGGGATTATTTAATCATAGAATCCAGAGTCGCCACTTGGGAGATTTATGGTATCCCAAGTCACTGGTTCAAATCCCGAATCGAGGAAAGGTTTGACTCTGTATTACAGTCCGCGAACCAAAAATCCGGGTAAGGAATTCTGTTAACCCGGGAGAAGGTATTAGGCATTCCCGAATTCCGTGGTTCTAGCACGGTCGCTTTACTGTTATTATTGGCCTATTATCTGATTTTAAAAACTTTTAAACCTATGGGCATTTTTAAAACTTTAACCGCTTTTAGTCATTTTTAGGAATATTGCAACGCTGTTAAAACACGTCTTGAACCACGTCACATAAATGCACCCGCAGTCTTCAACATATCTTAACATTGTTGAGAGTTGGATTTGGGTCACATAAATGCGCACCCGAATTTAGGAAGGTAATGTTATTAAATGACGCGCCTAAAGCAACTACACGTTAGCAACTTTGCGAGGGCCATGGAAATTTGCTAGATGGCACGCCTCGAATTCTAAGGATCAATACAAGATTAATTAATATGAGGGCCATGCAATTGTCATTTTTGTTTGGCATGGCACACTCAATTTATTCTAATTAGAGCGTTTTTAAACTAATACACGAGGGCCATAAGTTGTTATTGGTTTGAATGACACACCTCAAAATGTCATGAGAATCTAATTAGCCAAGAATAAACGTGGGGCCTCTATCTATTAACAAGAACTCAAAGCTACTACATATTCGGAAAACAATAAATTGAAGGGCTGCTAAGGTCCAATTTCAATCGCTTCCCACGCTTGGGCTCAATAGGCCCAATACCCTTTGCAAATGCATATATACACAAAATCATTGAAGCTCAAAACGGAGGCCTCTAGCAGGACCAGCTCGGAAACTTGGCAACCAAAAAAACAGTGGCTCGAGGTCGAGCCCCTATGATGGCATGAGGCAACACACATATTGAAATCAATCTATTCCTGGGAAACAACACGCCAGGACTACTGATTTTTTTCAATTTGACACGCTTTATCAAAATCGTGAAGGAATTAACATTTTTTTTAAAATTCGAAAAAGGGACATCAACTATTAATCATGCTTGAATCTATTCTTGGATTTTGAAACTACTTTTAACAGAGCATTGCTGTACTATTTGAGACCTTCACTTGAGCTATAATAGGTGGTGAATACGTAAGCTAATCTACGAAGAACAACGATAGTCTGAATTATATCTTAGACTAAACATGCTTGCCATACTTCCCCTAATAGATCAATATGACTTCCCAAACCATCTTTAGCATTTAACAAAACCAAAATGTTATTTTCAGAAAATCAAAAACCAATCAACCCCTGTTTGGACCACTCTTATTCTCAGAGGGTTTAAGACAAGTTTAAGAAGAAAAACAAAACATTCAGACCCAAATACCAAGTTGTACTGAGACAGACTCAACATGAATCAATTATAATATAGTTAAGCTGCATAAATACAGTCCATAATTCAATTATAGTACAATAATCTATCTAATCCAACTAAAGACAACCCACCACATTGAATCAGATGATCAAACATAACATTATGAAGAAAAATTGTGAATAAACTACATCATCTGACACAATGCTTCAAACTCCCATTTTTATTTCATTTCTTCACTTCACAACCAAAGAGTTACAGAGTTGTGTACCTGGAAATGAGAAACAGAGCTTAAAGGTTATCAGCAGCAACAAGCAGAGATCAGCAGCAGGAAAATAACCCAATGAACCAATTTTAAAACCCAGAAACAAAGCTGAACTAGTCTACTAGAACAGTTCACTTGAATATAACCCAGAAACTACAAAAACCAGACCTTAAACCAGATTCAATCCCTTTTCTAAACCTCAAATGGACCAGAAAATGCTTCAGGATTAGAGAAATTTCAAAAAAAAATACCAAGCAGAAGCAATGAAATGGTGTTTCTCTAGAAAAATCTTCAGCCACCTAGATTTTTTCTGATTTTTTATCTCTTAAACCTTGAATTAAGCTGCAAGTAACAATGCCTTTATAGGCAAGTTACTAGGGCAGCAAATGTAAGCTAGACTTTGCACTTTACCCCTTTCTTAATTTCCCTTTTTGTTACTTAGTCCCTGATTTTCTAACTTATTAGCCAAGTAAAACCCATTTTCAGCTTCTAGGAGGCTTCCTTAGCAGTTACTTGAGAGATTCCCCAAGTACATTGCCTAAAATACCCCCCATACCCCTGAAAATTACACTCAGCCATTTACCCGGGTCAGGCTTGACCCAATGGCCTAATTGGACTTCAAACCTGGGCCTGAACGGATGGCCATCCGATGCTCAGGTCTGCCTTACCCCAAACCCAACAGGAAATCTTAAGCCCATTACAGCAGAACAACACTCATATCAAACGATAATGAGGGAACAATACTCTGATCAAACACACAAAAGTTCAAACAATAGAATCCTAAAAATGGTGAGCCTGACTACGCTAATTAACTGAAATTACCACTAAGTAAGAGGAAAAAGATTAGGAACCCAATTAAATTAAACCTCTCGAAAGTTAACATTTTGTTTAAACCAAAGAAAGCAGGGGGAACCTTATTGAGTTAAAATCCCATAACAAGTAAAGAGGCGAGTGGTGAACAGAATGAGATCAAAGTTAAGGAAACCAAAAGAACAGGGCTAAAACTGAAATGGACATACCGTCAAGAGAAAGGACATGTACTGTCCGCTCTTCTACCAGAAACCTACGGGAGATTTGATGAACGATTCTACTTGACAAGCTTTGTTGATTTTGGTCTTGCATGGGGTCGGTGAGCCTCGAAATGAGTCAAAATCAATGCTAACCGTTTGCTCTCATGGAGAACAACCGGTTGGCATAAGTTCTGACCCATTAATGGCCCAAATACCACTTGAACAAAGCGTAGAACCTGAACCTCAACTTTGACATCAGATTCGAGATTTAGAGCTAAGGGTGGGGATTTTGGGAAAAATTTTACCACCCTAGTGCTTGAGGGAGTATGGGGAAGGAATGGTTAAGATTTGGTGAGGTTTGGAGCTCCGTTTGCCTGTGAAAATGGCGGAACTCAAGGATGGCTAGGGTTAAGATAGATGGAGAAGATGAGAGACCGAAGTGTTTGGTCTCTGAGCATTTTTGGACACTTTTAAGGGAATGGGGTGGAGACTCTGGACCGTTGGATGAGGTGAGATCAACGGCTCAGATGGTTTCTAATCCATACGGGGTCGTTTAACTAGGGGACAGTCTGGACCGGGTTACAGCCCTGGCTTGGGCTTGGACTGGGCGGAATGTAGAGAAATTGAACGGGGCCTGTTGAGAAGATTCAATTAGGCCCAAAAATCTGATCTCTCACCTTTCCTCCTCTTCTTTTCTTTTCAAACTCTTCTCTCTTTCTTTTTTTTTTAATTAAAAATAAAACCTACATTAATTCTAAACCAAAATTATCCTACCAAATTAGGTTAATTGCTAAAAACAAGATATTTACAACAACTAATTAATTATCAAATTAAGAGAAACTGCAAGATTTAAAGCTAAATGCAAAGACGAGTTATTTTTTGTGATTTTTTTTTATAAAATAACTTAATTACTTGATTAATCCTAAAACGCTAAATTAAATCCTAAATGCAAATGCTCATATTTTGTATTTTTCATTAATAAAAATGCACAGACAAAATGCAAACAATTAACAGAAAAGGCCACAAAATCCATAAAATTGCAAATAATGAAAAGAAATTTATTTTCTTGAATTTATGGGAGTAATTCATATAGGGAAAAAATCACGTGCTCACAGCTGCCCCTCTTTGCTCGGAAATACGAAGAGTTTTCATGCAAAGATAAAGTTAGCGGATACGAGCGATTTTTGCCCGTTTGAATACTCCGTGGGAAGCATTTTTGAAAAATTCGACCGCACCCTGCTTCTGAGGTTGCCTACATATCCTTGGCTAAAAAGGAATCAGGTCAGTGTAGTTCAGGAATGTTTGGTAGCTGGGACTATCATGAAGTTGTGATTTCACTGTTGCTGCTGCTGCTACTGCTTACTGAACCCCTTATTACACCATGTCAAAAATAAAAGGAATCTAGACTAAACTATGGTCTATGAATTACAAAACCTATCTATCTCTTCAAACTTGATCTTGCAGCTTTTGTTGCCATGCTGACTTGTATTCTTCTGGTTAAATTCCTCTGTTGTCGACTTGAATTATAATCTGAGATATTTTCCTTTTCTTCAGGTGGATGCCTGACTGCCAACTTGAACTACACTTTGAGATGTTTTCCCTATCTTCAAGTGGATGCCTGACTGCTGAACTGTATTTTGAGATGTTGCCCTTTCTCCAGGTGGACGCCTGACTGCCGTACTGTATTTGAGATGTTGCCCTTTTCTCCAGGTGGGCACCTGACTGCTGAATTTGAATTGTATTCCCTTACTCTCCAGGTGGGCTCCTGACTACTGAACTTGATATGTATTCCCATGCTCTCCAGACGGGCTCCTGATTGCTAGACTCGAAATGTATTCCCATGCTCTCCAAGCGGGCTCCTGATTGCTAAACTCGAAATGTATTCCCATGCTCTCCAGGCGGGCTCCTGATTGATAAACTTGAATGTATTCCCATGCTCTCCAGGCGGGCTCCTGATTGCTAAGCTTGAAATGTATTTCTCCCTGTTCTCCAAGTGGGTACCTGATTTCAACAACAATAGACAAAACAAAGAAAATTTTCTACCCTAGTTTGGTAGCTGGGCACATAAGTGAGTGTTAAACTGAATTCTTATAACAACTATCACTAAGAATTTGCAAGCTAGGTCCTATTATCCAGGGAGGTCCTGACAACTCGAAGATTATAAGCCTAAGTTATATCTTCTACAGGTATTACTTCCACTAAGTCATGTTATCTAAGAGGGTCTTAAACTACTCCCCATTATCCAGAGGGGTTCTGACAATTCTTAATTAAACAATAATTTTAAATCTAAGTTATATCTTCTAAGGTATTATTGTCGCTACATCTTGTTATCTAACAGCAATCTTAAAGCTAGGTCCCATTATTCAGGAGGGTCCTGAAAACTCCTAATTGAATCCTATCTCAAACATGCAGACTTTGAAACCAACTTATATTCCTTTGGGGTACATTTATGCTAGATTATGCTACTCATGATTGTTTTGAATTTTAAACTAGGTCCCATTTTCCAAGAGGGTCCTGAAAATCAAAAATCAAGTCTTATCTTAAAAGTGACAATTTTACGGCTGAGTTATACTACCCTACAACAGAAATTACACTACATCTTGTTATCTAATGGAAATCTTAAAGCTAGGTCCCATTATTCAGGAGGGTCCTGAAAATTTACCGACAAACCTGTCTGGTGCTTGCTCTTCCCCTACGGAGGGTTTCTTCGAAACAAACGAAATTTTCTGCCCCTGTTTCAATCAAAGAAAAATTTTATCAGTTTAAAAATATGATGGTTGGTTTGTGGCCTTGACTTTGAGGGAGATTGCTCCCTCACTTCCCATGATCGCTTTGATTTCCACTCGAAGACCTTACTAGTTTATTGACTAACCACTTTCTCTGTCATCCTTATCACAGAGAATACCTCTTCTCCATTCAGACCCAATACCCCCTATCTGTTGCATTGCTCATGACCTGACATTTACCAAGCCCTTGTGTTTCACATGAATCTCAAAGCACGACAATTGTCACCCACTCATTGCGCATGTTGTTCTTTCTTGACTTAAACCATTGGCTATGGCCTTGAGGTCTATTGTTCCTTCACTTGCCATGATAACTGACTTCCATTCGAAGACCTTGCTTGTTCCTTGACTAACCACTTACTTTGTCACCCTTAACATAGAAAATACCTCTTCTCCGTTCAAACCCAATACCTTCTATCTGTTGCATTGCTCCTGAACTGACATTTACCAACCTTTGTGTCTCACAAAGATCCCAAAGCATGTTGATTGTTACCAACTCAGTGTGCTTGCTGTTCTTTCCTGACTTATGACGCTTTGATGTGTTAAACAGATCCCGTTTTGTGCAATTGGAAAGCTGGTGGAAAATTTTGAAGTCATTTCTCGCTTGCTCTGATCAAACGGACTTAGAAAGAGGAAGTAAACAAGACAAAAGGAACAGAGTAGAGGACAATGGAAAGAGACGATTCCTAACAAGAAAACTACAAAGTAGAAACCTATCGGATGTGGATACCAACTCCAATGACCATGACATGCACATGTGTCCTATTCTGTTAAGCAAGTCTGATGTCCAACTCTTGTTATCCTTCAACCATGAAGCTGGGCTTCAATGCTCCGATTGTCCAATCTAATTCACAATCCTTATTCGACTTGTAGTGCCCGAAGGGTTTTCACCATCAAGCCTCTCTCATTTTGTTCTCTCTCTCAACTTACCGTTGCCTCAAGGTGCCCGTGAAGGTTTTCACTAATAAGACTCTCTTATTTTTTATTTCTGTCAGCTTTCATCGCCTTACGATACCCGTGAGGGTTTTCACCAATAAGACTCTCTCATGTTTTCATCTTCCTTGTTTGGATCGGAGTGTTGCCCCTGATATGAATCACTTTGACTTGCTCGACTTTCGAAGACTGATCGGAAGGTCTTTCTTTGGACCGTAACGTGGGCTTTTGGATAGGGTTAGAAAGAAAGGGTATCAAAGGCTCAAAACAATTCAAATGGGTTCAAAATAACAACTTTCAGAATCAAATATCTTGCACAACCACAACTTCTGCCCCAGTTTCTTTTCTTGGGGATTTTTGGATCTTTACTTTGATGAGACCGAACCGTGAGGCTGCCTAGGTATCCTTAAAAGGAATCAGGTCGAACGTAGTTCATGTCATAGAAATTACTTTGTTGTTGTGATTTTTTTTTTCTTTTTTTTTTCTATTTTTTTCTTTCTTCCTTTTCTCTTTTTGTTGTTTCTTCTTTCCTTTCTTTTCTTTTTCTTCTCTTTTTTTTTTCTTTTCTTCTTTTTCCTTTTCTTCTTCCTTTTTTCCTTCTCTCTCTTTCATTCTTTTCTTTTCTCTTTCCTTTTACTTATCTTTCACGCTTGTGTTTCTGATCTTTACTACTGATTCCGAAAGAGGGGTATGAAAGAAAATAAATAAGGCACAAAGGGGTAACAAATGATAAAGTGTTTGGATAGCAGAACAAAATGCCTTCGTCATTCTAATCTTCAAAACATGCCAAGTACAAACAAACAAAATTAAACAAAGAAGATCATACATAGTATCTCTTGACCGCATCGGAATTGATGGCCATTTCAACACACTTGCCTTCTATGTCTGTTAAATACAAAGCACCATTGGACAACACTCTCGTCACGATGAACGGCCCCTGCCAATTTGGGGCGAACTTGCCTTTGGCCTCAGCCTGATGTGGAAGAATACGTCTCAACACATGCTGACCCAGTTCGAACTTTCGCGGACGCACCTTCTTTTATATGCTCTTGCCATTCTCCGTTGATACAACTGGCCATGACACACTGCTGCCAATCTTTTCTCGTCGATCAAACTCAATTGTTCCAAACGGGTCTTGACCCACTCATCATCATCAATTTCGGCTTCTGCGACAATTCGAAGGGATGGGATCTCCACTTCTGCGGGTATCACTGCTTCGTTTCCGTACACCAACAAATAAGGAGTCGCCCCTACTGAAGTACGAACAGTAGTGTGATATCCCAGCAATGCAAAAGGCAGCTTTTCATGCCACTGTCTAAAACCCTCCACCATTTTCCGAAGTATCTTCTTTATATTCTTGTTGGCCGCCTCAACTGCTTCGTTTGCCTTGGGGCGGTAAGGGGTGGAATTGCGATGTGTAAGCTTGAACTGCTGACATACCTCTTTCATCAGATGACTATTGAGATTAGCCCCATTGTCTGTAATGATCACCTTTGGTATCCCAAACTGACAAATGATATTTGAGTGCACAAAATCAACCACCGCTTTCTTGGTTACAAACTTGAATGTTTTGGCCTCAACCCACTTGGTGAAATAGTCAATGGCCACCAAAATAAACCTGTGCCCATTTGATGTTGCTGGCTCAATTGGCCCGATGACATCCATGCCCCACGCAACAAAAGGCCACGGTGCAGACATGGTGTGCAATTCCGATGGTGGAGAATGAATCAAATCTCCATGCACTTGACACTGATGACACTTGCGCACAAAACTGATACAGTCCCGCTCCATAGTAAGCCAATAATAGCCTTTTCGGAGAATCTTTTTTGCCAATACGTACCCACTCATATGCGGTCCACAGACTCCAGAATGTACCTCGGTCATGATAGTTGTGGCCTGTCTAGCATCTATGCATCTCAACAGCCCAAGGTCCGGAGTTCTTTTATACAATACCCCTCCACTGAAGAAAAATCCACTTGCCAACCGTCGAATCATTCTCTTTTGATCACCTGTGGCCTGTACTGGATACACTCCCATTCTGATGTATTCTCTGATATCGTGGAACCACGGCTCACCATCAAGTTCTTCTTCCACCACATTATAGTAAGCATGCTGATTGCGGACCTGAATCTGCAAAGGGTCCACATAAGCCTTATCTGGATGATGCAACATTGACGCCAAAGTGGCCAAGGCATCGGCAATCCATTATGAATCCTTGGAATATGCCTGAATTCTATTGATTGAAACCGCTGACAAAGATCATGCAAACATTGTTGGTACGGTATAAGCTTCAAATCCCGTGTTTCCCATTCTCCTTGAATCCGGTGTACCACAAGGTCCGAGTCACCCATGACCAAGACTTCCTGGACACCCATATCTACAGCTAACCTCAAACCCAAAATGCATGCCTCATACTCGGCCATGTTATTAGTACAATAGAAACGAAGCTGAGCCGTGACAGGGTAGTGTTGTCCTGTTTCAGAAATGAGTACCGCTCTTATCCCAACGCCTTTCATATTAGCAGTCCCATCAAAGAAAAGTTTCCATCCCGGCTTCTCAACTTGTTCCAACTCATCAACATGCATTACCTCTTCATCGGGGAAGTATGTCTTTAAAGGTTCATATTCTTTCATCGCAGTCTGGGTCACATAGACAATGTCAAATTCCATGAGCAAGATTTGCCACTTTGCGAGCCTCCCTGTGGGCATAGGCTTCTGAAAGATATACTTCAACGGATCCAACCGAGAGATGAGGTAAGTAGCATAAGATGACAAGTAATGTTTCAACTTCTATGCTACCCATGTTAGGGCGCAACACGTCCTCTCAAGCTGAGTATACTTAGCCTCGTAAGATGTGAACTTCTTGCTGAGGTAATATATGGCCTGCTCTTTCTTGCCGGTGATGCCATGCTGACCCAACACACAACCAAACGAATTGTCCAAAACCGTCAAATACAGAATCAAAGGCCTCCCTGGTTCTGGTGGGACCAACGCCGGTGAGTTGACA